TGCTTGCAGATTACTGTTGGACTCTTGTTAGAGATGCGCTAGCCACAATTCACAAAAGAGCAGCAAAAAGACAGCGCAAAAACTAATAAGTCTGGTGTACACATATCTATTTTTTTTTAGTTTGTTAAAAATAATAAAATAAAAATGTGTTTTAGAAAACCGCAACTAANGACGGCAAACACCATGAGTACGAAAATAAGCCCTTTGGACTTTTCATAGAGCAATGAGCCTCACCCTACAAGGGTTAAACCCTCAACAGTGTCTCATCTACATCTATGACATCATTATCTTCGCTAAAGACTTGACTGAACACAACTATAGACGTATTTAAACCACTCAGAATAATTTAAAGATTCAACTCGATAAAAGCTAATTCTTTCGCAAAGAAGCCACCTTTCTTGTACACATAATAACTCGTGATGGTATAAAACCTAACCCCGAAAAAATTAAATGTATAACCGACTTTCCCAACCAAATGAAACCAAAGCACATCAAACAATTCCTAGGGCTCGCTGATTATTACCGTGAATTCATTCCCAATTTTCCACTAATCTATAAACCAGAGGTCGGCAACCCATGACCATCATCGGTAACTTCAAGTGACCCACTTTAGTTCCGAAAATAAAGTATAAGATATACAAATGTGGGAACACTCGGTATAGCAAGAAACCTTTATATTGTGTATCAATTAAACCTCTGCACTCGTGCTGACTTAGTTAGGTCGCGACACAATGCGACTAACTAGGTTAACGGCAATTACATACACAAGTGTAAAGTGCTGAAATGTTCTTTGCCATATAATACCATGCAAATAGTTTTGTATAAATACCGTGTAAATATTCCAATAAATTAGTCTAACACCAGGCTCACTATTATTCGGATGCTGATAAAGTGTCAACCCTTGGAAGCTGTGACTTGTGTGCCAATCATCAATGATGCAGATAATGTGTCCAACGATATTACTAAATCGGTTCTTCTCAAAACCACAACTTTGATACGACTACGACTACACTGGAGAGACTACAGTTTATATTAAAATAAATAAACAATTCGCTTTTAGGTAGCTTGATAGAAACCCTATTTCTTTCTTCTCTCCATTTTATACTCATAACGGAAAAATTCTTTCCGTAAAAGTGCCAGTTGCCGGAATGGAAGGAAAAAAGCCAATGATTTTAACAGGTTGACTGGCACGGTATTATTTCTAAAATTGTCGAAATTTTTATTTATTTTTTTTTTTTGCATTTATTATCAATCGATAATAGATTGGTTTTTTAATATCAAATCACACTTTTTTAAGCAGACACCGATGTGTGCCTTTTTTAATTTTGGCAAATGTTTCATAAAACCGCATGTGCAAACACGAGTTTGCAGACACCAGACTCCGCGATATTGTGCAGATTTTTAGATCATGCACGCATTAATGCTGTATGGGCTGATTTGACGGTAGTGAACTGCAACATTAGTTAGTGTTAAGTGGTTTGTTTGATTAGACGCGTTGATGAAGTATTTTGATTGATTTTGAATATAGTTCATAACAGAAGATGGAAAATATCAGTGATAGGACTAAAATGATTATGAAACAAGTTTTTAAGCCCCCATTTGTAGGTAAGTGTATGCTAATTTATTATTTTTAATTTTTTCTTATTTTATTACACTGAGATTTTAATGGAAGATGTCTCGTGGTTTTTTTTTAATTGTACAATGCTGTAAATGCTGAAACCTCTCTTCAATATTGGCTGCTATTACCTCACTAAATTAAAATAGGAACAAAATTTTTATCAAGGATGCCAAAGAAGACGCGACATCAAGTTTTGTAAATATTTTTTTTTTACAGAATTCAGCGAATCATCGTCTGATGGCGATTTTAGTTCCACTGATTCAGTTAAAGATCCGGTTTTTATTCCTTTAAAAATATCTGACTGGGATTCTACAGACGATTTCTTTAACGCACCGGAGATAGAAAATGTTGACTCGGATGAAAAAGTTGCTACCGTTTCACCACTTCCTTTGCCATATTCACCGGTGGCTAGTTCGGAGGATGAAATCTCTTTGGCAAGTCTAAGAAGACAATTAGCAAACGATACTTGGTTCGTTCCGGTAGGTCGTCAGCAGAAATTTGATTTTACGGGAACAGGCCCTTCAATTCATGCACAGCTCGTAGATGGGTCCCCATATAATTTTTATTGTGCCCTCATCGACAATAAAATCACTGAGCATATAGTGGGACAGATAAATTTGTATACAACGCAAAAAGTAATGAGTGAGGAAGATATACCGAAAACATCTCGTTGGCATAAATTGGTACCTGCTAACAGAAATAAAATGAAACGATTTATGGGTTTGGTGAGCTATATGAGATTAGTCAAAATGCCATCAATCCAAAATTACTGGTCCTCAAATCCTCTATATCGGAACGATATTGCCACAAATACCATGAGTAGGAACCGGTTTCAACTACTCTTACAATCTCTTCATTTTGATGACAATGAGACCTGTCCGCCAAACGACAGGTTACACAAAATTCAAAACTTGGTAAATTTATGCGTAGAAAATTCTCAATTGCCTTCTCATCAAACAGTATTTACCTTATAAAACTCACAGATATGGAATCAAACTATTCAAGTTGTGTTGCGAAACTGGATATACTTGGAATTTATTAATTTATTGCGGAAAATCTGAAAGTAGACAGCATTCACTCGCAACCGATGTGATCTTAAAATTATCTGGTCCCCTTCTCGATTCAGGAAGAACCATTATAACTGACAACTTCTAGTTTGTTTGTTCTAAGACGCAAAAAAATAATAAAATAGAAAACTGTTGTATATAACTTATTTACCTTATAAAATTACACAAATTAAATGATGGCGTCCTCTGGGGTAAAGCACTCCGGACGTAAACTAGTCCCCCATTCGGATGTCCGGGCGGGGACCACCTCGGGGGATGTCATCAATAAGTGCAATAGGGATAGGTGCATTTCGGAGTCGGAGCGTGGAATGTTAGAACAATGAGGCAAGTAGGAAAATTAGACAATTTACAAATGGAGATGGACAGATTAGAATTAGATATAGTAGGTATTAGTGAAGTCCGTTGGCTCGAAGCTGGAGACTTCTGGAGTGGGGGTAGGAATTGTAATGCGCGGGAAAGTAGGGCAGAGTGTAGAAAGTTATTTACAAAAAAACGATAGTATAGTTATGGTTAAATTAAACTCAAAGCCGGTAGGAACGGTATTAGTGCAGGTCTACATGCCTACATCATCTTACAGTGATGAAGACGTAGAAGCTGTCTATGCAGATATAGAAGGCGTGTTAAGTTTAGTGAAAGGACAGGACAACCTAATAGTTTTAGGAGATTTCAACGCAGTAATAGGTGAAGGTAAAGTGGGTGCAATAGCAGGTTCTTTTGGACTAGGCAATAGAAATGATAGGGGAGACAGGCTGATAAAATTTTGCGATAAACATAACTTAACCGTCGCGAATACTTTATTCAACCATCACGTTAGGAGGCGCTATACGTGGAAGATGCCGGGTGATTTAGGGAGATATCAGTTAGATTACATACTTCTTAGGCAAAGATTTAATAATCAAGTGAAGGACTGTAGGAGTTATCCAGGAGCAGACATAGATAGCGATCATAACTTAGTAGTTATGAAGACCAACCTTAAATTCAAAATTTTGAAAAAGAGGGAAGGTAGGAGACGTCTCGACTAAGAAAAGCTAAAATGTAACGAAGCGCGTGACAGGCTAGGTAAAAGGACAGACGAAATTCTACAGGCGGCGGGAGAAACGAATGACGGGGACATAGACAGATGTTTATCTGAACTGTTATCTCTCTTTATTAAATTATTTAATTCTTTCAAAGTTATTGGACTGTGGCGACCCTCGCCTATTACACTATGTATTTTAGTCTTTTGTTTTGTAGATNCACCGACGCTTCCAACTACGCAGTCGGAGAGGTCCTTCAGCAGTGGGTAGACAACAGTTGGCAGTCCTTAGAATTCTTTTCGAAGAAATTAAGTCCTGCCGAGATGAAATATGCAGCCTATGACCGCGAGCTTTTAGCCATATATTTGGCAGTTAAACAATTTTGTCATATGGTAGAAGCACGACCTTTCACAATCTATACGGATCACAAACCTATAACTTTTGCATTTTCAAAGAAACAAAATCAATGTTCTCCACGTCAATTCCGTCATTTAGATTTTATTGCATAATTTTCTACCGATATTCGTCACATTTCTGGAGAAAACAACATAGTTGCTGATACATTATCCCGCATTGATGCAATAAACACATCAAATTTAGCCTACCAAGCATTAGCAGCCGCACAAGAATCAGACGAGGAACTACAGCAATACCTGACCAATAACTCCACATTAAACATCAAACGCATTCAAATTCCTGAAACGGATACATACATTTTTTGCGACATTTCAACTGCTGCCGCTCGTCCATCCATTCCTCCAAAATTTAGGAAAAGTGCATTTAACACGGTTCATCGCTTATCGCATCCAGGAGCGAACGCAACAGTTAAACTGGCAACACAGCGCTATGTCTGGCCGTCCATTAAGTCCGACTGCAGACGATGGGCCCGGAGCTGCATACCATGCCAGCGATCGAAAATTTCCCGTCATGTGTCGGCACCAACGGGAACCTTCTCATTACCATCGGAAAGGTTTGAACATATCCATATTGATATAATCATTATGCCACCCTCAGAAGGACATCGATATTGCCTTACAATGATAGACCGCTACACAAGATGGCCGGAAGCTGTCCCGTTACTGTACCAGGAAGCCGCAACTGTAGCTCGTGCCCTATATGAAAACTGGATCGTTCGGTATGGTACCCCACTCAGAATAACAACGGACCAGGGCAGGCAATTCGAGTCGTACCTATTTAAACAACCAAATAGTTTACTAGGTACATCTCATTTGCGAACAACGGCTTATCACCCTGCAGCCAATGGGATGATTGAACGAGTTCATCGACAAGTCTGCAATAATGTGTCATGAAACACCTTCATGGACCCAAACCCTTCCCAACGTCCTTCTAGGTATACGTTCAGCGTGGAAAGAAGATTTGAAGGCCACCGCAGCTGAAATGGTATATGGACAAACATTGCGTCTACCAGGGGAATTCTTAAGCGCCACACTTCCTGTGGGAAACATGCTGACTTCCACGGAATTTGTTAACGGCCTTCGGCAACACATCAGTAGGTTAAGACCCCAAAAACAGCGCCGTCACGGTGAAAAGGGAACATTTGTGTTCAAAGATTTGAACACCACCCAGCAGGTCTTCGTACGTCGCGGGGGGTCCAAAGAGATGCTACAACCACCGTATGATGGTCCGTACCCTGTTGTTCGCCGGTCAGAAAAGACGTTTGTGATACTAATCAATGGCGGTAACGTAACAGTAACCATTGACCGACTTAAACCGACATACGTTGCTGTTGATGAGACAATTCCGTGTGATCCCGCTGTTATTAACAAAGATCCAATTCCATCTGAGGTTTCCCCTGATTATAAACAGCGTGTTACAAGATACGGCCGTCATGTGCACTTTCCCGACAGACTACAGATTAATTGTGTATAACATGTATATTTGTATATATAACTATTTACACACTCACAATTTTAATTTGTCAATTTTAAATTATGGTTCGTTAACACTAGCAGGGGGGTACTGTGGCGACCCTCGCCTATTACACTATGTATTTTAGTCTTTTGTTTTGTAGATATATCATCATAATCATTGTAAATAATATGTAACACTCTGTATATATATAACTTCTGCTTTTCTTCAACTTGTAAATATTCTAACGAACTGCCTTTCTACTAACAGCACGTTAACAGTTTCTTTTCTGGATCTGACTTCCTGCCTTTTGAATGTATCTATACCTAACCCACATAAAGTATCCTATTTCATACTAACAAAAACCGATCGACAGAAAATTCTGAGAACGAAAGTCGACGGTTTCTTCTTTTCAAGAGCTGTACCCTAAAATAAAAAAAAATACGCATGTGCATATTCACTTTTCAGTTCGCTACATAATTTCTGCACCCCCAAAAACCAGTCTCTCTCAGCCATTCTTCATCTACCGACTTTCCGCTATTCTCTTTTACTCATCTTCATTTTCTGTAAAATAAATTCTCTACTTCTCTCTTCAACAAAGAGTTTTTCTTCATCGTCAATAATCACCCACAAATTGGTGACCCCGACCGAAAAACGCAAGTAAGTAAGTTTATTCGGAACGTGCGTGAGTTTAACAATTGCAAAAGTGTACAGAATAAATTCAGCAACAACAATTAACCATGGCTACTGGACATAGTGATACCGCACAGACAGACATTTCCATTGACCGTGTAACAGTTAAAGTGCCACAATTTATAGCAGCAGATCCGGAACTATGGTTTTCCATACTTGAAAGTAGTTTCGTTGCTTCCGGAATTACCCAAGACTCTACCAAGTTCGGGTACGCGGTCAGTGGTTTGGACCAAAAATACGCAGTAGAAGTGTGCGATATTATACTAAAACCGCGAAGCGAGCGATCGTATGAGATGTTAAAAACCGAACTCATTAAACGAATGGGTTCGTCGCGCGAACACAATACGCGACGACTTCTAGAAAATGAACCGTTGGGTGATCGAAAACCTACGCAATTTTTACGGCACCTGCGGAATCTTGCTGGAAATGAGTTTCCCGAAGACATACTTCAAACACTTTGGGTAAGTCGTTTGCCAAAACATGTCCAAGCAATTCTAGTGGGACATAAAGATCTCATGTTGGATAAGAGAGCCGAAATTGCCGATTCCATTATCGAGGCTTATGGCACCTTCAATAATATCGCGGAGATGTCATCAACACCTACCGAATCAGCCATCAACAACCGCTTTGATCTTCTGGAGAACGCACTGACATCGGCGCTGCAAGAAATAGCGGCTATCAAGCTCAATAGTGCAGCCCCGTATCAATACCGTCGTTCACGCAGACCTTCACGCTCAAGTTCGCGTTCTTCTACTTCGCGATCGGTTTCGCGTTCGCGATCAGATAGAGAAAGTGGCATGTGTTGGTTTCATTGGCGTTTTGGGGCAAACGCTAGGAAATGCGTAAACCCGTGCAGCTATCCCGGTAACACATCGGGAAACGACTTGGGCAGTCGTTGATGACGGCCGACGACCCCAGCCCTACGTCATCACGCCGTTTGTTCGTCGCTGACAACACATCACGTGTTAAATACCTCATCGACACCGGAGCGGATTTGTGTGTGTTCCCACGCAGTGAACTACCTGAGCCACGAGAAAGATCCAACTATGAACTTTCCGCAGCAAATGGTACCAATATCACTACTTTTGGGACTATCACAATAACATTAGACTTGGGCCTTCGACGACAATTTACGTGGAGATTCGTTGTCGCAGACATATCCAAACCTATCATTGGAGCCGATTTTCTCGCACATTTCGGTCTATTGGTAGATATGAAGAACAAGCGACTTTTGGACCTAACCACCCATCTTACTTCCCTAGGTGAAGTAACTGAGTGTGAAATTCCATCGATAAAGACTATTTCCGGTTCTTCACCCTTTCTCGATCTTGTGAAACAGTACCCTGAGGTAACACGACCAGATGGGGCACCAAAGTTAACGGCACACTCAACAAAGCACCACATAATTACCACACCGGGTCCCCCAGTTGCTCAGAAACCTCGGCGACTTGCACCTGAAAGACTAAAAAGTGCCAAACAACAGTTTGAAGCAATGCTGCGTTTAGGCATCGCTCGCCCATCAAAAAGTGCGTGGTCATCACCGCTTCATTTGGTGCAGAAGAAGGATGACGAGTGACGCCCGTGTGGTGATTATCGTGCCCTAAACGCGCGAACGTGTCCCGACCGATATCCCGTGAAACACATTCAAGACTTTTCCCAGACTTTACGCGGTAAAAATGTGTTTTCAACAATAGATCTAGTGCGCGCATTCAATCAAATACCGGTCGCTGAAGAAGGTGTGCCAAAAACAGCCATTACAACTCCCTTTGGTTTGTTTGAGTTTATGTTCATGAGCTTCGGGTTGCGCAACGCAGCGCAAACATTCCAAAGATTTATAGACGAAGTGCTACAAGGTCTAGATTTCTGCTATGCATATATCGATGATATATTAGTCGCATCAACGTCATTAGAAGAACATCTAGACCATTTGCGAACATTNCATTTAAATCTAATAAATATGTGTACGGGTAGGTATAATTAATTTTTGCAACTTTAAATAGTTCAGTTGTCCAGCTGGGTGTGTAAGACTTTGAAAATACATGTCTAGCTTTACTTATTCGTACAATATCACCCACATGAAATGTAGGTTTTCCATATATCATTATAATATGACAGCACGCTGCAACAAGTATGTACTTTTCATTTTGTTTTTTATTGCTCAAAGAAGCTCTTAGTGTTATTTATGCTTTAAATTCAGTTGGCAAAATTTTAGATGACCTTGCTTGAACAAACACCGACCAGCCCCATTCAGATGATCTCCTCAAAACATATTCTCGGATTTTCGCCGCGCCCGATACTATCGAGGGCCTTCCAATTATCGGTGACGCAAAACCTCCATCACAAAACCTTTTGTATGCTCCCATTACCGAAGAGGACATATGGAACCAAGAACCAAGATGTCTGCTTCCACCGGACCCGATGGTATGCGCTTGCGAGACGTCAACCACATCCCCACTAGACGTCTGGCTCTCCTATTCAACTTTATGATGTTTACGGGAGCCTCTAGCTCAACACTGTCCCGGTGTCGTACCACCCTCATCCCAAAAGGGGTGACGAACCTAGAAAACATCGACAACTGGAGGTCTATCACGTAGCCCCACTCCTGGTCAGAATCTTCCATCGTATCCTAGCCACCCTTCCTCTCAATCAGTCGCAGAGAGGTTTCATATCCCTTGACGGCACCCTGGCCAACGCCGTCACTCTGTGGACCCTTATCAAACACCAGGGAGTGCATACCAGGCTCTACCACATCACCACCCTCGATCTGCACAAAGCTTTCGACACCGTCCCATACCCCGTCATCGAGCGGGCCCTTGTCCGTCTGGGCGTGGATCCCCGCTTCACTAGATATGTCATTGCTTCACTGACGGGTTGTATTACCATAATTTCCTGCGGCCAACAACACCGCTGTCAAATAAGATCGAACGTAGCGTCAAATAAGAGGACTCCATCTTTTCCCTACTCTGCAAAGCCGTTATGGACGTGTTTATGTGCAGACTCGCCAACACTAACACCGGCATTAACTTCCAAGAGCACAAATACAGCATCTTGGACTACGCGGATGACCTGGTCCTCATGTCGAGTTCACAGGACGACCAACATCTTGTCCGAATGGTCGATCGTTTTACTAAAGCAAGAGGCATGGAACTCAACACCAACAAATGCAGGCACCTCAGCGTCAACTTATTACCAGATAGCAAAAAATTGACCCAGAAGACCTCTTCAAGTACCTTGGGTTCCGATTCCATCCCACAGGAACCCAGACGCCCAGACCCACCGACATCTCCACAGCTCTGCATCGCATCAAAACTGCCCCGTTTAACAATGGTAAAAACTGGAGCTGATATCGACTTATCTCCTACCTGTTCTTTTATCAGTTTCAGGTCATAGAGAACAACGGGTTTCTGATGTAACCGCCTTGAAGCATCGGCCCCATGCTCCGGATTGGCCGCACATTCTTCACCGCCACAAGTTACCAACTGGATCTGTTCCCCTCCACCTTTCTGGGATGGATCCACTTACATCAAGGCCAACCAACTCCGAGCTGGAGTCCTACCAACTGTGGGAGGCCTCCACAACCAACGCCTTGTAGTGCTGTGGAAGCCATTCTCCAGAAATGTCCACTAATGCATTACGAACGCATAAGGAGGAGATACGATAACCTGGTGGGAGTCCTCTCGGATTCCACGAAAAAGAAAGGCTGGGAAATCATGGTCGAACCGGGGTTCCGGACCCCCGACGGCCGTCTACGGAAACCGGACCTTCTGTTCGTAAAGGACACCACCGCCATCGTTACCGACTTGGGCGTTTTATGGGAGCGTCTTGAGCCGCTTAGTGTCGCCCACAACCACAAGGATGCGACATTTTCAGACACCACCTTTCTGGATACCGTCAAGGCTTCTCTCCCCGGCCGCCACCCCTACAAGAACACGTCCTCATCGTGGTCCTCACCGCGGCACCCGCTGTTCCAAGAATGACACCCTTTTGGAGGTTCTAGGCGCCATCTCCAGGCACGTCTGCTCCACCATCCAAGGCGGAATCTTCTCCCACATGTCCTTCAATAGGACTTGTCTGGCAACGACGGGACCCTTCTCCCGTCATCCACCGCAATATCCAAAACTTCAAATTGTTAGCGGAACCCCTTTGTGAAAGCCCAAGAAGATTCGCGAGGGAAAAAGGGTACGGAAAAATTAGCGAGCGAGAGCAGCGTCCCAGCGTCCGTTGCGTCAGCGAGTCGCAAATTTATTATACTTAGATAATATTATTTCGCAAGGATTATACTTGTTACCAATGTATTAGTGTTTTTGTGAATTAAAGCAAAATATTCA